TTTTTTTTTACTTTAAACCGCATAAACATTGCATTACACCAAATACACAAAATTATGTTCTTTTTAGCAACATCAAATGACCCCTTTAAACCTTTTATCATTAACCATGTTCTCTGCTGCTCTTGACTGTCTTAGTTCTGTTGTATCGGGCTCTGTCACATTCTCAGTGATTCAGTGCGGTTTTCTCTCTCTGTCTCAGTGATAGTAGCTGAGGTGACACAGCCGTCTTTAGGAGTCGGTTATGAGCTCGGCCGAGCTGTGGCACTCAACAAAAGGGTTTTCTGTCTCTTCAGACCTTCTTCTGGAAAAGGTATTAAGACTTTCTCCCACATCAAATGTGACCCTGGTTTTGACAGGTTTTATGAGATTCACCCAGATGTTTAGATAGATATCCACAAAGATATTTTTCATTTCCCACCCTCCAGTGCTGTCTGCCATGATCAGAGGAGCATCCACAAACTCGCTCTTCCAAGTCCAGGACTACACCGAGGATGAAGTCGAGAGTATCTTGGAGAAATATTTTGATACTATCGCCAAGAATTGATGAGCACATTTCAGCAAATCATAACAGATAAGCGCCACTTCTATATGCTTCTCCTCTCATTTTAGAAAGTCAGTAGGACTGTCTTCCATTGGTGGGCATTTTATATTACATTTTCAGTGAAAATGTAAATTAAGCGGTGTATTGTTACTTACATGTGAATAAATCTTTTTCAGCTAAACATTGGTGTTACACTGGGTAATATACTGTAAATAAATGACGGTGCATAAATATCACACTGTGGGGAGTATCCAGAGAAAGGGTTGAGATCCACATACTGTCATTGTTTTGAATTGTCCACCAGAGGTCACTTGATGTCTTTTTACTAAAGCATTCAAAGTGCCCAGATAAAGTAGGTTAATTAAATTCACAAGTTCACAATTTCAGAATGTCACAATACAAAGCAAATAGTATTTTTTATTTTTTTCCGGCTCAAAAATGTGTCAGTCAGGCATTATGGCACTGTTTATGTCATGCATTATGTGATAGTCAGATTCAGGGATAAAAGGGATGTAGTGTGTTGCATAAAAACGTTAATTTAATCATGACAACTGCAATACAAAGACATTGTTTTAGTTCATGGCTGAGTGATTTAGACACGGAGGTCGGCTATTACACAGTTAAAAACTTTAATACACACAGATCTGTATAAAAATACACATTACAATAAAAAACAAATATACATTTCACCAATAAATTACATAAATAAATTATATTTACACTTAAGAATACTGTTGTTAATGTATCACAAAAATCATCCCATGAAATTCATATTACTATACTGCTTAAAAGACCATCAATATAATGTTAAAGGGAACATTACATTGTCATTTAAAAAAACGTTCATAAAGCAAATACTCAAAGAATAAAACTTACTTGGCATATACTCACTCACATTGAAATATTTTACAGTTTGAACACTTGGCGAAAATGGCTACACATAAACCTGAAATTAAAAGCGCTTTTAGTAATATGGCTTGATTATATACATACAGTACTAATGTAACACACGATGGAAGTTTTGATATATTTGGGTGGTTCAGTGCTTCCCTTTATTTTACATGCAGCCCATTAGTGCTACTGTTTACTCTGAGTACAGACATCATATCAACAAATACAGTGGCTCTCCGGCAGTGTGTACCTTGAAGTCAATATGAAACAGCATCTGCAACCCACCTTACCTTCATAATGTGACATACTGTATTCCCAGGTGATACAGTATATTAAAATGAGAAAAAGGGTAAGGTGTGATTAAATTGTATTCATTTTTAACTGACTGGATATTGAAAAGTGCTCTCCAAATGAAAATTAAGAAAGCCCTGAAGCCCTAAGAAAGTATTTCCTCAAATAATTCTCTTTATTTATTTATTTAATTTATATTTTTGTAAAACCTTACACTCCCCATTAGGAGAGACCCCATTAGTTAACAATAGTTAATGCATTTACTAAAAGTTACTATCAATGAGAAATACATTATTTACATTATTATTTATTAATCTTAGTTGTTAGTATATAGTTCAGGTTAGCTTAGGCCTATTAAATAATATTAACAGATACTTTTGAATTTAATTACTAATGTTGAAATGAACATTAATAAATGCTTTTGAAGAATTTTTCATTGTTAGTCCATGTTATCTGTCCTTACTGTAATGTTAACTTTTTTCAGTGTAAAAAAAATTTGGCACCTGGTGGCCAAGATTGCATGATTACTGTTAGCTAGAAAGCATTTGTCTCATATGCTGCCTTTGAGGAAAAAAGGTTAAAGGCCAAAATAAAATACCAGAAAAAAATGTTTTAATTTCATATAAAAACAATTTTTTTTTTAATTGGGGGAGGAAATAGATTCAGGAAGGCATTAAGACACTCTTTATTTTTTCCAGCAGAAATATTGCTTGGTGAGAGCAAAATGTTTTTCAGAGGCAGAGTAAGTACAATTTTGATGAAATATTACACAGACAAGCATCTCTTATCTTTAGAAAAAATTTCCAAGACCAGGTACGAGCATTATTGATTTCATGTTGACTCTAACTGACCTAATGTTCCCTCGGCACTACATGCCTCACTTGTGGCATCTTTAATAAAATAACACGACTAATTGGTTCTTTATTTCTGTGTAATCGCTCTGGATAATGACCACCTGCTTTCAGCGACCAACTCTCAGATTCAGGAATACCGTCTTTATCTTTTAAGAGGTCAGAAGTGGCCTTTTACTTCAACAAGAGCAGCTGCATGATCTCTGCGGCTAAATGATGTCGGTGTTCAGCCTCTTCTTCTCGAGCTCAGTTGGAGCCGGAGACTGGAGGAAGCTGATCTTGCATTCCTGTTGCATGGGCACAGGGTTTGTCCGGCATCGGTGGAATGGGCGATGGTGAACGGGGGCCCGTCTGCACTGACAGCGAGCCGATCGGTCCTGGCAATGTCCGCGCAGGACCAGACCAGCTGTTAGCACCACCACGGCCAAAGTCATGCCCCCCAACACCAGCAGGATGATGAGCTGCAGCTCTGACAGCCCTTCCGCCCCATGCTGAGTTACCACTGAGATTTTGAACGAGCGTCTTTCATCCCCACTAGGAGTGGTCCCGTGGGAGCGATTGACTGGGGCGGGTTTGCTCAGCGTAACTCTGTCTCCTTCGCCCCTCCAAAAACTCATCAACAAACACCAATGACTTGTACATACACTATATGGACAAGGCACTTCCAAAACTGGCAACAAAGATGGAAACAATTCATGCATTTACAAATTGTATTTCCATCTCTGTTGCAACAGTTTTGGAAGCGTTTAAAATGATTGTACCCATATGTACAAGTCATTGGTGTTTGTTGATGAGTTTTTGGCTCAAGGTCTGCATTTAAAGTCACACCAGAGGTGTTCAACTGGGATTAGGACTTGGTTTTCTGCAGACCAGTCAAGTTCTTCCACACTGACTGATGCCCGGTTCAGACTACACTATTTTAGCCCGATTTTGCCACTATTTGCTTGACGTAGGATGTCGTGGGGATTCGTAAACGACAATGGGCGTCGGGACGCAAGATTCCATCGTTTAAGCTTGTGTAGTGTGTCATAGTGGACGACAACCGATTCCGCGTCTGCGATGCTTCACGACAGAAAGACTAGCATGTTTAATTTTTTTCCCGTCGTCCACGACGAGTTCTGTGACATTGGTGACGTTGACCAATAGCAGCACAGAAGCTCTTTCATACACAGGTTTCAAACATAGTGAAACAAAATAATTATGAGATGGAGGAAAGGTTCGTGGAGCTGTGGCAACAGTACTCCTGCCTGTATGATGTGTCATCGAGGGACTACCACGACAGAACAAAGAAAGAAAAATGCTGGCGAACTATAGCGGAAGCGCTTCAGCAATGTTTACACTCTTGTTTTCGGAAGTCAGTCGCTAGTTCCGCCTTCTCGATTACATCACGCGCGTCGTTAAAGACGGCACGCGATGAATGGTTGGGAAGCAACGTGTAGTCTGACATGTTTCTTGTCCACGACAAGATTTTAGGAGTCAAAATCGTGTAATCTGACACACTGACTATCGTGACCGACAAAAATATCGTGTAGTCTGAACCCGGCATAAGTCGATCATTTCTTTTTGAGCCTTGCCTTATACACAGAGGCTTTGTCATGTTAGAATAGAAAAGGGTCCTGTCTAAACTGTTGCTATAAAATAAAAGCACACAATTCCCTAGAATATCATTATATGCTTAAACATTAAGATTTGTACTCATGGAAATTACTAAAGTAGTCAAACTTGTTCATTAGAAGGGGGTGTCCTAATACTTTTGGCAATATAGTGTATCTGACACCCACAAACTACAAGATTTTAGGCCTGATTTATCTTGTCGACGGTTAATGGAGATGACAACAAAAGCTATGTGTGACTTATCAAAGACGTTTGAGAATTTGGGAGAGGTGTCCAAGCTAAGCGATGTTAAGCAGGTTAAATATGCGATCCAAGTCCTGTAGTGTGAAATTTGTTTTGACTGTAACTGACATAAGTGATGACAGACGGTTCAGACAACTTTGAAAGTTGTGTAGTGAATGCGCTGGGTTTTATATGTGAAGTGTGTGATTTCTGGACCACTATTGTCACCAAATTGCAAAAAAAAAAAAAAAAGCTTTCTGAGAACCGATTTTTATTCACAGCCAGTTCCATTTAAAAAATTTAAATTCAAAACCGATTGGATGAAGCACCACATTAAAAGACTACTATTCAACAGTGGTACTACAACATAACAGCAACCCAAGTGTAGTCCAGTTCCTGAAAGAATAGCACTTGTGAGCCAGTTTTTTTTTTTTTTGTGATTTAATAAAACATTCGTTGTGTTTCTTGTGCATGTGTGTGGAGCTCCTGTGTTCTTGCATGCTATTAAATGGAGTCTACTACACTATCATTTGCATCAAAACTGAAGTATACTTTGGACTCGTAACAAGAGTATTCAGGTTAATGAACAAATGAACCTTCCTTTGCAGGCAGCACCATTATCATGAGTTCAATTCCCAGGCAGTCCATGAGTTGATTGATTGTATATCTTGAATGCAATGTAAAGCCCAAAATATACTTAGGTTTTTATGCGTACACTAGGGTGTGCATGCAGTGAGTATGACACAAATTTCATCATCAGCATAGTATACACACACTGTACGCATAAAAGTCCCGTTTTTCTAATTATTCATACTCCGTATGCTCAGCATGCACATGCACCTTGATTTTTTTTTATTCCACTAATTAGTTGGTGCCCCTGGTGGCGACTTTGGCTGAAGAGATGGAACAATATCAAACTTTTGGAGGCTGTGACGACAAAATACTTTTTTTGTGACTAGGTTATAACAGTTGTCTGCAACTAAAGAGGTACCAAAACTAGTATAGAGATGAAACTTTGTAGTGCTTATATTGCAACCGCCTGTGTTTGGGAACGTTATCAAAAGGAGTATACTTTCAAATGCTATGCATTCGGATAAGCATATACATCAGAACTGAAGTATCTTTGGACTTAAGTCCCTGCTGCCAAATACATAATACAAATATAAATTATGAGGCATTTTTAGTAAATGAAAAGCACTGAATCAATAGGAGTGGTTACTAAATTAAAAAGACTCCCTGACCTACAAATTATTGCTAATATGCCTATGTAAACACCATCTGAAAGAACTGTATTACATGTCTTTGCCTTAAATGTATTTTTATATCTTTTCAGTTGAAATCTGAACATCATTTGGCAATAGACTGCTGGGTGATGTAAATGCAATATCTTTTCTCTAAATATTTCTTCCTCAAAAGTAAAAAAAAAAGTCTTAATGGAACTATTAAGGACTCAGAATTGGAACCACAATGGTTAAAATCCTTATGTTTTCCTGTTCTATTGCCATTGGTTGGACACACAGAAAGTTCTGCCCTAATGTAATGCCATTGGCTGAGCCGGTGTTGAGCAGGTCAAAACTCTCAAGCAAACCGTTCTTCCAACGAGTCACAAGATTTACATTTTGAGGGGAACCAGCCATGTGAATGGCTTATTTACTGTATCTGCGTATTAAACTTTTGACATGTGAAAAACACATCCCCATTACATCATTCATGTTAACAGGCTAAACCATATACTGTAATATTTCAAGTAATAATTTGTCATCTCTAAAACTGTGCTGCAACTGGTCCAGTCCTGCAGCATCGTTTCCCTGGAAACGTTTGTTTTGGTCTTCATGGGAAGAACAGCGGGGGCCGAGCTGCAGCGTGTCAGTATTAGCAGTCTCTTACAGGGCCAGTAATGAGCCCATTGAATTACATGATTGCACTCTGGAGGCTGCAAATTGACCAGGCTGTTGTGCTGCCTGTGCCAGTGCGTCTGGGCTTGTGTGCTAATAGATTAAGCTTAACAAAATGTTTACTTAAAGAGGTTAAATCATGAACAAACCACTATTCACTGATCTTACATAAAACAGTTCATTGTAACTGTAATCAGAAAGTCCTACTAAAAATGTCTCGCTCTGTTCTTCCGCAGCTTTGTGATGTTAGGCAGGTGAGTACATTTGAACACACAAAACATGCATTTACATTACAAACGAAAGGGGGAAAAAAACACTTACTTGGTCTTTTGGCAAGGCCCTGTTTTCAGTTCACAGTCCCGCCCATGAAAGCCTTCAGGACATAAGCAGCTATAATCCCCAGAGTCATTCAAGACACAAGTAGCCCCATTCTGACACGGCTGCTCTCTGGAGCACACGTAAATATCTGCGGACACAAGTCCGCGCTGTTATGTCAATCTATTAAAGCGTTTGCTACTTAAGGTCATGAATAATCTAAAACTTAAATAAAACAATAAAACCTGAAATAAAATAAGTTTAAGAACCAATTGCAACTGAAATGAAAAAATTATGATACTATATATTTCTATTTAAATATAATTAAATTGTTAAACAGAAATAGGAAAACTAATAAAAAACAAAATGACTTAATAATACAAAAATAACCAACCCATGCTTAATGTAAATACGTGACTCCGGCTACATATCGGAAAAATGTACCTTTCCATAAATTTCACTGCAGTTTCCAGGTGAAATGAACACTAGTGGCAGTAAAACACCAACAACTTTTATTCCTTTTTCACACAAATTATAATTACAGGGAAAAGGATCAATGAATAACATAATACTTTGCGATTACCTCGAAACACGTTTCCCAGTGCGTTGTGTAAACAAATACATTTGAATGTTTGTGTCACATAATCAGCTCCATAAGTATAAACTCTAAAAAAAAAAAAAAAATGCTGGGTTGTTTCAACCCAACCTTGGGTCAAATATGGACTAACCCAACCTTTGGGTTAAAAATTTAATTAAAAAATGTAACCCAACAGCTGGGATAGTCCATATCTGACACAAAGTTGGGTTGAAACAATTAACCCAGCATTTTTTAGAGTGGTTTTCTGACATAGTAAACTTGCTCGGTAGCACATAGGTACAAGTTCTGTGAAAAATGAATCACGACACTCCACAAAAGAGCTCGTAGTCTTGCATAAGGAAGCTAAAATGGCATGGTTGCTTAAACAAATGGATTTTTACTGCATCTCACATTTGCTTTTGTTAACTCTATCGTTGGGAAACATGCTACAAGCAACGCAATATCATCCCGGCATGTTTTTTCACTCTGCTGTTTAATAATCCCACATCTGCAATGGAGAAAAAAATGATATAGCTTATAGCCTTTTGTAGACGTGTCATCTGAAAAGTGCAGCAAAATGTACCCAGACAAAACATATTTCAGATTTTGCAGAAATGTTGCGTATTCCCAAAGAGCCTTGGTTGCAACTAGCCTTTTTCATGCCCCTGTCATTTATTTCTTGGATATATGTTTAAATGCATGGAAATCATATTGGATTTCTTTTATCAGAATAATCAGTGCTGTCAGGTTAATCTACAAAAATGAATCACCTTTATCACAGAATCGGCCCGCCCACCCGTCCATGCATGTGCACTGCCAGGGCTGATGGCAGGTGCCATGGACACATCCGGGCATTCGCACACAGTCTTCACACCGCGGTCCACCCCATCCCGGATCACACCTGCTACACGGAGGCTAGAGTTAACCCTACATGCCATGTTCATTGTATTGTTAATCTGTTTACAGTTTTCTTCTGCAATAGTAGTGAGCGGGAACAGGCTTGCACAGGTCAGATATACTTCAACAACATGACGCCTGAGAGCCACACAAGCCCATATTTCACTCTCATGAACCCACTCACCTGCAGTCACCGGTTTCAGCACACTTTCCAAGGCCCAGCTCACACGTGCAGTTACTGGCCGAGGGTGTTGGAGATGTTTCTACTGAGGAAAATAAAACTGAAGAGAAGAGTACATTTAACATAGAGTTTGGTATATATTTGTCTTATTTTATTAGCTTTTGTTAGGTATCCTGTTGTTATTTTTTTCTTGTCTTTGACCATTATAGAGTTCAGAAGTTACTGCATAACAGCAATCCTCAATGATAATTCCTCTTCGAATTAAGTAAACAAGTCCATCAGATCACATAACGAGCTCTAGCTTGTCTGTGAGAGTTTGTCACTTGTAGAAGGCATGTGCGATCAGTGTCACTTTTCAACAGCTTATGTAGCATGTCGAGTGTGGTCAACAACAGCTAGCGCATACTAAGATGCACATACGCGTTGATCTTGCCTGAAGGGAAGCTAATTTATTGTGACAAACTTTCAGTGAGAGACAATCAGGGGAAGACAAACTATGTTATTTAATTAGTTATCTTAAAGGGATAGTTCACCCAAAAATGAAAAATTTGCCATCATTTACTCACCCTCATGTTGTTCCAAACCTGCATGAGTTTCTTTCATCTGTTGAACACAAAAGAAGATAATTTGTTGTAAAAATGTTTCAGGGAGCCATTGACTGGGAGTCAATGGCTACCAGAAACCGTTTGGTTACCAAGATTCTTCAAATTATCTTTTTGTGCTCAGCAGAAGAAAGAAACTCACACAGGTTTGGAAAAACATGAGGGTGAGTAAATGACGGCAAATTTTTCGGTGAACTGTCCCTTTCATTTTCATTTGCTTTACTATCAGTACTCCATCTTGGTCAGTCTGACAGGGTGAAAATGTAAAGTACATTATTGCAGATTAATATAAAGTAATTTTAACAGTAATACAGTAAAACATTCATGTTAATCTAATTACATTCATTATTGAGAGTAATGAGTACAAATGCTGAAGGGAAAAAGTGTAATGAAAACAATGCCAGAATGGCAAAAAAAAAAAATATATATATATATACATACATATACATATAATAAAATATATATTAAAATGACAAAAAATGCAAAATGTTATTAATTTGAGAGAGAAACTGTTGCATGTTTTCATAAAAGTCTGACATCTGACCGGGAGAGTGGAAAGTTTATGCGTGTTCTTTTTCCATCCTTAATAATCTACATGTACTTTAATATGAAAAGTTTTATGAAGTGTTACAGGAAATGATTCACCCCGATCTCCATCATCACCATCCCAACTGAGTGATTTAGCATTTTTGGCCGTGCTTATCCAGTATTGGGTTTTGCGCTCCGGTGGATGTTAGTGCAGGGTGTGTATGTGTGTGTGTTGGGGGACGGCCAGGAAGCGCGTGTGTCTGTGGTGATGGGCACGAGGGGAGCGTGTGCGGTGGGAGGAGAGGAATGTGCTCATGTCTCCGCCCGTATGAGCTTTGCCCGAACATCACAAGAATTCACCATCGCCCAGGGCCCAACCCCTACATGCCTCCAAACCCGGCGCTCACAGCCAGCCTCTTACATCACATGTCCCGTCTGCGTTTCCACTAAATGTACTAAATTATTCCTTATAACCAGGAAGTTGCGAATAATTATCAATATGCGAATCACATGTACACTTACGAGCAGTTTGTTTACCCCCCCCATCTGACATGCTCACTTAATCGTGTGCCTATTCCGGTTAAAGGCTGGTATGTGAGACACAATACGTGTGTAAGCTCATATTCATTCAGTGGCACTGGAATGGGAAGCATTTTCCATGTAATCTGGCCAAGTGTAAGACCTGTATTCCTGGAAACACAGAGCTTTGAACAATGCAAGCCTGGCTTTCCTGCGCTATCAGTGCAACAGCTGAAAAGTACAAACTGATAACAGAGAGCAGCCCAAACAACAACATGAAGCGTAATCTCTTTAAACATAGACAGCTGAAGGATTAGTTTCACATTTAAAACCAAGAGAATCTGTTCTCGTAATGATTCTTGTTGTACAATAAGACATGAATGGAAATATTCTCCCTCTTGCTCAAAGGTAATTTACGTACACAGTGGGGTCCAAAAGCTATTATTTATTTATTTATTATTATTTAAACCTGGTGACCTATTTCTAGGTCACTAATCAAATTTAAGCAAATTTGTGACATTGACCATGTTCACAGCCAACAAAAATATGTTCTAAGAATGTTTTTGGTAATGTTCCCAGTAAGTCATGAAAACATTATTCCTGAATGTTTAAAAAAAAATTTTTTTTTTATGTTTTAAAAATGTTTTCAACGGTTATATGAACGTTAAGGGAACATTCCATTTGATCATTTTGCAAACATTATGGGAACGTTACTTTTGAATGTTCTCTGGCCGCTCTGAAACAAGTAGTATCATTTTTAAAAATGTTAGATGAGCATCCAACTAAAACGTTTCAGATAAAAAAGCGTACCATGAATGATTATAAATAAATATCTGTGTGTACATTAATGAGGAAAAAAAATTAACTTAAATGATTTTAGCAAATGGCTGCAATATAACAAAGAGTGAAAAATTTAAGGGGGTCTGAATACTTTCCGTACCCACTGTATATATATATATACACACTAAGCAATAAAAAATGATAAAATGTGTCTGCATTCAAATGTACCATCTGTTCCTGTTTCCATTGACACCGCGAACCATGCAGCTTCTTTTTTTATTAGATTTTTATAATCTTTTAAAGATGTATTATATAAAATAGGACGCTGCGCTATGGCTAAAATGAGTGCTTCCTCCATTTTTAAATTTCTATACAGAGAGGTCACGCAGTGACGTATCGATCTTCTACTGGTCACATGTCTTCACGTGATGCGAATTCGCAGGTCAGAGTTCACCAAACTTGAACTTTGGAACGCAGCGAAATGCGAAATTTTTCGCATGAGCTTGCGTTTCCGGTCTTACGCATTCACATGCGTATGAATGGAAGTCAATGGAACGAAAAGTGCAGTGTAACCGCCCCTTTAGGAACAACATGAGGTTGAGATTAAATTTTTGGCTGAATCATCCATTTATTACAATATACTATAGACTGAAAGCATGAAAGGAAATTTTGGGGTTAAAAAATACTAATTAAGTTTGACTTAGTTTGAGAATTTAAAACACAAACATCAGGCATGTTCTAATTTAAGACTTAAGATTCCATGTTCTTCCATGTCCCATGAATCACTTCAGCAAACCACATTCTTCCTAAAGAACTGCCAACCACAGAGACACAAAGTACAGCCATCGCGGACTGAACTGACCCCATTAGGAAAAAAGCAGACAAGAGGGAACCAAACTAGTCGATTTGCAAACATTATGGGAACGTTACTTTTGAATGTTCTCTGGCCGCTCTGAAACAAGTAGTATCATTTTTAAAAATGTTAGATGAGCATCCAACTAAAACGTTTCAGATAAAAAAGCGTACCATGAATGATTATAAATAAATATTTTTTGCGCTAATGTTTTGAGAACATTAAAGCCCAGATAACTTTAAATGAACATTCTCAACATTCATAACAATTAACATTAATGTTTGTTAACTTTGAGAGAACATTTCTGAGAATTATTTGAAATGCTTTGACTCTAATGTTTGGACTACGTTAAAAAATGACAATATTATATATTACAGATAAATGTATGTCTGAAATGTCTGATATTTAAATTACGATTTTATCAGCAGTGAAGATTGGATAAGATTTGCATTATTTTGCCTGGCACACAGAGAAATTACAAGTTAAATTTTTTTTGCAAGGCAGAGTGTTTATTCTTAAGGGGCAGTCACACTAGACTTTGAATGTGCGGAAAAAATTTCGTACGCTGCTGCGAATATGGGCGGGAGCAGGATATGACAATAATAATACACTTGTGTATAATAACTCTCTCTCTCTCTCTCTATATATATATACAGTGGGTTCCCCTTTACTTTAGGTGCTGTTTACACGACACTATTTAAAAAAAATAATAACTTTTTATAAGTTTTGGCCGTTCATTTACACAACAATGGCGTTTTGGGGGCCTGAAAATACAAACTTTTGAAAACTGGTTTCAAAGTGCCAGTGTTTGAAAACAACACTGTTATCATCTCCGTGTAAACTACAAACACATGAATTTGTGAAAATGGTGAAGTCATACACAGCTGCTTGGCAATGGAAGCACATTCCATTAGCTCCCGCCAAGTATTTGTGCTGATATTAATGCCAGTGGAAGTTTGGAGCTCTTCAGCTATGGAATCAGCAGATTCTGACTTTATGTGGTCTTGAATTTAATAGTTAATCGCAATACTTTTGTCCATATAGTGTATCTTATGGCCAAACACTCATGATATTAAAAACCAATTATACTGAAAGAACTTTTTAGTGGATCTGTAATTGCCCACACATTTTTCTATGGAGTGGGATTTCTCCAACTCGTGAGCGAGGGAGCAAGTGAAGAATGGTAATCTTAGAAATGCAACATATGCAATATGCAAAGTAGAACATTTGCACAATTCAGTATACACGCTTACACGCAATATACAAAGCAATTTTCTTATTTTCTTTCCTTCCTGTTGTCCATTTGCTCTCTGCATTTACTGCAAGTTCAAAGCATGCTTTGGATGACAAAGACTGGGAGTTGTTTAAATCCAGGTTGGAGACAGACAAAATGAGTCCGGGTGTGACAGCAAACAGAAGTCCGATGATCTCAGAGTGCTGATAGACAGATGTGGCGCAAATAACCTCTTCTTGTACAAACTGAAGGAGTCTATTCTAGAAAAGCCTCCAGGCTTAATTCTGGAGCGTGTGTAAATATTTGCGATCACAATGGTTTCAAAATATGATACAGCAAGAAATCTGAAAATGGGCCATGATTCAGTTCGAGTTGTTTTTGTATGATTCAAATTTGTTAAAAATATGCAAAAAACAAATATATGGTATAATATAGCCTAACAAAAAATGGGACAATATTTTCAACTAAAAGAAGCCATGCTGCTAACTTTATTATTCACTATCGTGGCAGTAGCTCAGTTGTTTTCTAAATTTCTTTTTCCAATAAGTAGTGGTGCAGTGTGACGAAATGTTTCATCACTGTCTCACACGCATTATAAGTACAGCTGTACGCCAAGTGAACTCAGGCAATAAACAAA